AAACTTTTATTTTATATTACATTTTTGCATCCTCATTCCTTTAACCCAGTGAGAAAGTAAAGTGTCACTATAGTGTCTAAAAGATCAAGATGATAAATCGTTAATTTTGGGACAAGCCAAATTTAAGTGTAACTGTTCAAACTAAAAAATAATTCAGCCTTGGGTTTAGTCAGGCCTATACAAGAATAAATAATATATATCAAAGCCCAAAAGTTAGGGGGTTCACCACCTATATTCTTGAAATGTTGATTTTTTTTGTATATATTTTTCAGTTTCAGTTTCATTTTCTTATCAAGCTATCAATGGGACAAATTTTTTGCAAACACATAATTGCCATCAATTGTGTATTCAGCTGATCATACACATGACAAGTCGTTATCCTTCAAAGTTTTGCCTATGTTTTGGGAAAGGAATACATTTAATTCCTCCATTTAGGCAATCTGGATATTGACTGTTAGAATTACAAGACTTCTTTTTACCATTATTGATAGAGAAATCAACAAGTCATTGCAAAATTTGTAAATGCTTATCATAATTAAATCATTATTGCTACAAGCAGCTCCTAGGAGGAAATTGGAGGATTAAGCAACAATGCCTGGAGGTGTGTCTAATTTACACTCACTGATTGGTTAATTGAACCAGTGTGATTGACAGGTACCCATAGTTCCATTGCCTTTAGTGTGCTAATATGCCAATATAATAAGAATGGCTTTAAATGAATTTACAATAATAATTACAATAATAATAAACTAGTTTTTTATTTCAGTCGTTGAGTCCTTCGTAATTCCAACAAATATTTTAAGTAAATTATTTCTCTCAAATTATAACTGAACACAACTAAAAAACTGATTTAAGTTACAAATGAATAATTTTTATTTTAACAACCAGAAAAAGATACAAGAATAGGACCAGAATGTGGGTAATTTTCAATGGATATTTCCATTATATGCATAAACAAGATCAGGTTTATTTTTTCTAAATATTTGTAGCCAACCTGATAGAAATCAAGTAGACTATAGAATTTCCAAGGGGAAAACCAATGTCCATAACTCAAATCCAGGTAAACATGTTCTTTACAAATTATTAATTAAAAATATAAACTAAAATCATGGATAAATGTTGGCTTTGTAATATGTTTCTTACTAATGACCTTTACAATCTAAATGGGATTTGTTATGATATCTATATTATATATTAATACCTTATAGGGGGCTCCAAGTGGTCTAAAGTGCTCACCATTATTGATCATTGCCATCTCGCCTCTATCATCATGAGTTCAAGTCTTGGGTTCAGCCAATGTGGGTATGTGAGAAAGCATGCCAGAAGCTTCTTGTGGATCAGTGATTCTTTTCAGGTTTTTCCTGGGTTCTTCCACCACCATTGATGCTGGCCACCATGTGTAGTATAAGCAATCTTGTGCTGAAAATGGCATTAAACCCTACAACAACATAATACCTTATACTTTGAATATATTCCTTTTAAAAGCTTTTTTTCCATTCTATTTATGACATCTAATGTCCTTTTTGTATCTTCACAATAGCAGTTTGTTTTGATGGTAACATCGTTCAGTTTAATTCACCATGACATGATGTGATTTGATGTGAAGACTTTAACATGAGTGCCTTTTTGGTCACTTTAGTTTCATTTTATGGACTTTGTACATAAATATCTTCACTTTGGAAGTATCTTGCAATCAACATTGCTCAGGACCTAGTCCACATCACTTGAAAAGATGACATGAATTATACTATTAACACTCTTACGAGGCAGAAACATACACAACTTAACAACATAAAAATGTTAAAGATTTTAATAGAGATAGCACAGTTAAGCATTCAATAAGTTTATTTGTATCTGTCTGTAAATGATTGAATGCAATCTGGCTATAGTGAATTTGATTTACCCAGTCTTTGGATTCAAGAATATTAAATAATCTGGACCAGAAACTTTCACATCTAAAACCAGAGGAAAAAAGTGAATTTAAACAGCTATGTGACAATGAGCACTTGTTTCCTGATGCTCCAAATGGAATAAATAGTAAATAAAATATATCCTGATAATGAGATTGAAGATTCTACGCCTGTGAAGCAGCATTCTTACAGGCTGAATCTTCAAGCAGGAATGTTTGAAAAAAGAAATTCAATTATATTCTGCAAAATGATTTAATAGAACCAAGTAAAAGTAACTGTAATTCACCATGTATTCTTGTGCAAAATAATACTTTCTGAATATATACTTACGATAGAAAATTAAACAATATCACAAAAACTTTTATTTGGAATGCCAATAATTGATGACTGCATTGACAAAATTGGAAATGCAAAATATGTTGTACATTTTGATAGGATTCTGGCAAATTACACTTGCGGAAAGAGCAAAGGAAATTTTGACATTCTTAACTTTGGAGTTTTTCAATGCTATTTGGTATGAAAGGTACTCAAAATCTCCAGTGTTTAATGAACATGATTGTTAAAGCAACATACAAAATCTAAATCACACACATACATCTGGTCACTTTAGGCAAAGTTACTACAGTCTGATTTCATGCCATTATTGAAACCTCAATCTTTGGTACTGGTACAACTGATTATTGACTGAATGATCAACAGGGCTATCTATTAACTTGCATAATTTGCTGGAAAAATTAAAGACATTAAATTTTACCCTTGAACAGATTTGGGAAGGCCAAAATGTTTTTCTTTTTTTTCTTTAAAAAAGAAAATATTGGTTGTTTGTATTGATCTTAGGTAAGGGGACTATCACAGTTTACTATTATTCTGCTAAATGTTTCTTCAGATACAGAAATAGGTTGCAGATGGGCTTTAGCTATATTCAGATTAGCCTTTTGTATCATTTAACAGAGTCTCAAGATCTGCAGTATTTTGTAACATTACTTATATTTTGAACCAATAAAATTGGCTTAGGATATTGTGATAAGTCTTCTTGACTCCTAAATGATCAACCAAAAGAGTTTCTAGGACTAGGCAAAGCATTTCCTGTCCATGACTTAGGAACAATAATGTTATAGTTCACTTACCACTCTTCAGCAGTGGGTACATCAAGTGATCTCTATTTTTGATAAGGACCCTGTTTTGCACAAAATAACAAACTGATACTTTTGTGGTTTCAGTTTTACTGATAGCCCTCTGAAACAAACGGGAGATCTCAAAATATTGTTCCTGTTCGACAATGAGTGATTGTCTATTGTCACCAAAATTGGAATAAAGGGAATGAGTAGTAAATTGATCAATACCTCTTGATTGACCCCATCGTAAGACTTACCAATGTGTCATGTATAGAAATAATTTCCTGCTCAGCATCATTCTCAAGAGCTTGTATTGCTACAGCTCGAGTATCTGCACAACAAGGGTATAAATAGGGGATTGTTTTTCATTAGGATGGATGTTTTGTTTCAGTAGATAAGTGAATTAATCACACCCTTATCTCGAGCTAGGTCCTTGCATATTAATAAGCCAATACCCTCAATGTGTAAGGAAATCACTTTTCCAACTGTCACTCGTCCAGATACTAAGTTTGACAACAAATGTACAGTGGAGAGGAACATTAACAAAACTGTGTTTTATCCCCCGCTCCTTCCCGAATACTTTCACCAGAAAAATACCTCTCAGATAAAGATGAAATACATGATAATAAAAGACCGTGACGCTTCGGGTGTCCCTAAATATTTTGATAGAGATAGACTGGATATAATCGATATGTTATATGATATATAATCTTTGGACATGAATGGTTCATAAATTTCATAATAAAATGTATTGCTTTCAGTACCTCACTTTGATCTTGACCTTTTTTGTTTAAGAGTATTTTGAATAGCTCGTTATCTATTCTGATGCTTATTTTTCAATCAGTAGCAATTCATATAAAACTTAGACTGCTTTCTTACAATAAGTGCACGTAGGAAGAGATAAGGATTTCAGATTGATTCCTAATGTTGTGCTAGATTAAGGTTTGAAAGTACGAAAATTGGACGAGTTTCTCTTTACCATGAAAAAAAAATTGAGGAAGGCTCGTTGACAAGAGATTTGTGCATCAAGAAATAATCTTCACGTATGAGCAGCATTTTTTTTAAGGTTTCGACCCTTTATGAATCAAGGCGTGTCTTTACATCACTACAATGCAATACTTGATCTAATGTTATCGTAATCTTGATCAACTTTGTTGGCTGAGCACCACCTATCAAATAAAAGATATTTCCTTTGCAAATTGGTTTGTTCATTTTATTTCACATCCTAAACTTTTGTTGACATGCGCCGGATACCAACTCATCACCATTTCGTTCCTCAACCTCAATAATTAGTATTTATGATTTAGTGTAGATTTCTTAAGCTTTTCCAATAAGAGCATATTGTAATTTTTTTAAGTCTAGCGCTGTCTTGGCCATTTCAATTTTTCAAGCAATTTTCTCGAAATTAGGAAAATATTTATGTTCTTTTTCTTTAAAAGGAATTTACTAACGTGACATTTCTAGTGATATTAAAACCTGAACATGCGCGTTAAAGGTAATAGGGGAGAGGTAGGGGTGCTTTCAGCTTGCCCTATATAATTCGTTGTGCCTATATGGCCTCCTACTCATTCTCTCAACGTGTATTTCTATCCTTTTTTCGCATTTGCATTTCTCTCTCTCTCTCTCTCTCTCTCTCTCTCTCTCTCTCTCTCTCTCTCTCTCTCTCTCTCTCTCTCTCTCTCTCTCTCTCTCGTTTTTGGATTTCCATCAGTTTTAAAGCTAACACTTTTAAGTTGTTTTTCCGACTAGTTTTTCTTTGTTTTCTTTCTTTCAATTTCATTACATTTGAAGCTTACTAATTCAAAAATTTCTTTTCCATCAAATACTGGAATAGAATAGTTTTTATTTCTTGTTTCTTTATGGATGCCTTTGCTTCAATAGACTCAGTGCCGGGTTTTGATTGTTATTACCTTTCATGGCCACAGTCTTAATCCCAAGTGAATTCTACTTCTTTAGCACCAATCCAAAACAAACCACTCCGGTTGTCTAGTGGCTGGAGCGTCCGCCTCGGATGCGGGAGGTCGTGGGTTCGATCCCTGGTCGAATTATAACAAAGACTTTTAAAAATGGTACTAGCAGCTGCCTCCCTTGACGCTCGGCTTTAAGAGTTTAGTGTTAGGACTGGTCAGCCTGGTGTCAGGATAATGTGACTGGGTGGGACAACATGATACATGTCTGCGGCATGATGCCCCAGTGCTAGACATTATTATAAACTGCCACACTGCAGACATCGTGGCGATATGACTGAAACTTTTTTTAAAGCTACGTTAAAAATCATAAACACCACACCACCAATCCGAAACACGTTGTGCAACCCGTGGATTAGTAGCATCTATTCATTATGTTTAGGAAATTAAAGTGGCCCAAGCAAGTAGCTAAAGTCACAATGACGTAGATCAGCAACCGGAAAAACCTCCATTATTACTCACATCCTCAAATGTAATCCATTTTCGATTGCTAGACTTACAATCACTGAATCAGCCGGCATAATTTGGAAGCAATTGAGGCTCTTGTAATCTCCGTTTTACGCAATTCGATCCATATCAACCGTTTTTATTTTTAAAATCCTATCAGCGACTTGCATTTCAAATTGTTTACCGGTTAGTGTAGCGCTCGATAAGGCTGTGGGAACCTTTGCTAATCCTATAAAAAAAAAAAAAAAATCCACGAATAACATCACTGAGGCCAGTTCTATTATGTGTCGCGTAAGCAGATTTTCTCGCATTTACGGGTTTCACTTGTCTACAAGTGACTAATTATTTTATCATCAATGTTTTACCACTCTGATCACTAACGTGCCCGTCAAGGTTCACAAGAGTTCAACTAATGTGCTTCAACCGATTATTATGACTGGGAGAAACAAGCGTGCCACGGACGTTATCGGTGTCAAACAAATCACCTGGCTTTGCAGTTGTCGAAAACTGTATATAACCCTAAATAACTACGCTTGTTGTTTCATACCTACTTTCGTAACTTACACTGATGGTGTCACAAGATGATCAGCGTTGCTGAGGTAATTTTCCCAATGTCAGGCGCTATTTGATATCCCATAAGTAAAACTTACGTCAGGTCAAAGTAAAACTGAATTTATTGATGACCGTGAATTGTCATCCGCATACGTTTGAGATTCTATTGTGATGACAGAACTGAGTGTGGGCTCATTGGCATATTATGAATTTTAGAGTCTTTTGCCAGTTCTTTGTCGAATTCATTGATCGATAGCATGTCATACGCGCCCCATTGGAGTTCAGTATTATACCTGGTGGCACCAGTGTCTGCATAAAACGAGTAATTTGTGGGTAGAGCACCAAACGGTTGTGATAGGATATCAGGCTAATTGTTATAAACTCGAAGTGATGCAATTGCAATCTTAAGTCGACCTCCAAGTACAATAAGATACTATCAGCAGTTTTTTAGATTTTTGAGAAAAAGCTGTTTAAATATCTGCGCTTTTATGTAAATGACTTAAGTATTATCTGTATATTTATTTTGAACATTAATGTAATGAAAATAGTACAATAATAGACACTCCTAAAAGTTATGCCCCTTTTTGTTAAATATCAACTTGATGCATACACTTAATAAATGAAACCTTTTGAGCATCAAGATGCTATTTGGTATATGATTCCTTGATACTCACAGACAACATGCTATGAAAATATATTGTCAAATAGACACTTTTGCAATTTTCAAAAAATGGCCTTTAATGATGCGTCTTTTCTTTTAATTTTGTCTTTACGATCTCAATAAGGTAGATGTGAATATTTCGATTATAGTTTATTCTTGATTGACTTTCCTGTCTTTTTCTTCCATGCTTGTTTTTGGTCAGTATTTACTTCCCTGTTTAACGACTCTGATATGTTTTATTTAATCAGATTAAATGAAATAATCTTTCAGCAAGGTCGTTAAGATCACAATACATCGGGGTATTCTCTTTGTTTGGTAACTGTTTCTTTGCCAACCTTTTAATTTTTTATGTATCCATTTCGGTCGTTCTTCCCTTCTGCCAGATTTGCATTCTAATCATTCTAATTGTTGTTGATACCACTCTTTTCCTGGTTGTTGTGTGTGAGTTTTATAATCTATTGTTTTGTTCTGGTGTGCCAAATTCCGGTACATATTGTTGTTCTAACCACCTTTTTATCTATTCGTATTCTTCCTGTGAGGATCCATGTGTTTGTTTTGATTGTTCTTGTTCTTTCGTAATTTTAAAAATATTTCCATCCGATTGTTACTGGTGGGAGTGACCGGTTTGATTGAGGCGCGTCTACTTGATCCGAATATTATTCCTCTGTTTCAAAGGTTGATTTTCTTCTTCCCCGTCCTGGAGTTTCATAAAATGTTTTTGATTTGCCTCATTAACTTTTCCAGCTTTAACCAAAGCAATTATGTCACTCTAATACTCAAACGACTCACAATAGGCTTGTTTTATCCCAGTAGATTTCATGTTTACCCACTTGACCCAGACCTTTTTATGTTCTCTGACGTTTTTTTTTTTATCTGTAGAGCTTCCCAAAGAGGGTGGGGTGGGTGTGCAGATAAACTACACTGAATGTGTCTACAAAGATCCACTGGCGACTTTTCTTTAAAATTTTGCACTGGTGTTTCCATGATTCACTAGTCCTCAGGTGGTGAAAGTACTTCTTTGATGGCGATCTCTTCAAGTTCTCCGACTTCGTCTGTTTTATTTGGCTTGCCATCTCTGAGAAGCGTGTAATAATCCTTAGTTGCATTTGTTGCTTTCTTTATATCATTGATGCTTTTAGCTATTTTATGCACTGGGCTCAATTCTTTTCCCGTTAGTGATACCACCAGTTCTACTTATGCTCTTGTTGCCTTTTTAATATTGTGGGTACGTTCCTCAGTTTCTTAAGTTGATTTTATCAGCGGTGCAAATGTTTGTTCAAAACCCACTTTTATCTCTTCTCGTGGAGTCTGCCATGACTGTAACTTATCTTTGATAAAGCATAGTATATAATACATTCATCTGACAATGTGAATAAAACGCTTCAATCGGTGGCAACCAAGTTCCAGCAAATTTGTCGCAACCGCTCATTTCTTTCTATGGATACACAACTTTCCTCATTAGCAGATACATGTTTGGGGTACTAGCTCCTTGGAGACAATGCCTACATGCAATTTGAAAGATTTATACCGTTAGATTTCTCACTCCATGGACGAATTTAAAATCTGTAACGAATCAATGAACTCTTATTGATCCAGCATAACGTCTTATATTTTTCCATGGTCATTGCTTGCAGAATCAAATGCTATCATCAAATGACTGACCAATACATGTGTCAGCCAAAGGAGTAATTTCCTGATCAACATCGTTCACAAGCGCTTTCTTTGTTATAGCTCTAAGAACTGCACAAGCTGTGTATAAATAAGGGATTTCATTTTCAATTGACTTTCTGATCCCAACAAGGATTGTCAATTACAAGTGGATTAATCACGACCCTAAATCCAGCTAGGCCATTCTCTAGCAATAAGAAATGAAAGGTACCCTTCCCTCCTGCAAAAGGTACACGTAAGAAGAGATAAAGATTTCTGATCAATCTTATCAGAAACGTGGTTCCTACAAGTTGTGCCAGTCTGAGATTTGGAAGTGCTTGTACGAGTTAGAAATAGCTTTTTACCAATTACCTGTTGAGTCGATGACTTGTTGACAAAAGAAACTTGGTGATTCAAGAAATAAGCGCCAGCTGTACGAGCAGCATTTTCTAAAGTTTCGACCTTTTACACATCTATATAGGTCTTAAAGTCGCTGTAAATTTATTAACGCTTTAACTAACATGAGTTGTCTGAGATTATCGTAATCTTGACCAACCTTCTTAGTTGAACACTACCTATAAAATAATTGCTCATTTTCTCTTGGAAACTCGACATGAGTCTGTCCAATTTCATTCTGATAGTTCCTAAACTTTTGTCGGTGTGTGTCAGTTATCAACTCACAACCCTTCAAGATCCATTCCTTAACAATATCGTAATTAACACTTTGATGTGCAGACAAGGAATTGTAGACTTTACGGGCCTTGCTAATAAGAACACTTTGCAATAATTGAGTCCAATTCTCTCAGTGTTATTTAAAATTCCCAGCAATTATTTTCAAAATGGGGAAATATTTATCTACTTATTTTGTTTATAAAGGACTACAAACCTAATATTTTAGTAACATCGAAACCAGATTTTGTGTTTAAGGTGGAGAAGTGCTTGCACATGCAACCTCTAATTCTTTTGATCAATATTGATATTCCCTTACTTTCATTCGTTTTCTCGTTTAATTTTGCATTGTCATTCTCCTCTCGCTCTCTTTCCTCTTTCTGCAATTACAATTGTCTTTCTCTTTCCTCTCTCTCTCTGTCTCTCTCTCTCTCTCTCTGTCTCTCTCTCTCTCTCTCTCTCTCTCTCTCTCTCTCTCTCTCTCTCTCTCTCTCTCTCTCTCTCTCTCTCTCTCTCTCTCTCTCTCTCTCTCTCTCTCTCTCTCTCCTACTGTTGTTCTCTTTATTCTTTCTGTTGTTGCATTGTTTCACCTCTTTCTCCAATAGCATTTGTGTTTTTTTTTTCTTTCTGCAACTGCAGCTGTCTCTTCTCTTTCGACAGTTGCACTTGTTTTTCTTTCTGCAGCTACGTTTGTTTCGCTCACTTCCTTGTCTGATTGCTTTTGTTTCTCCTCTTTCTGAAGCTGAAGGTTTCTTAACTCTATCGTGTGTTTTAATTTCAGTTCTTTTAATTTCATGTCAGAAACAGTTATAGACTTGCTAATAAAACCCAAAAGTACTTTTATCCAGACGATTGTTTTCAAAAAAATATGGGACCGAAATATTTTTTTTAATTTTTTCTTTGTGAAAAAAGCCTTCGCCTCCAAGAGATCATATTTTCTTAGCAGGCTGGAGCAGTTCATCTGTTTTCATGGACTCAGGCCTTTCCTGATTACGATTTAAAATAATGTTATCTACTTTAGATGTTATTATGAAAATTTGGCTGCTTCACTATGAATTTCAGATATGTAAGATAATACATAGGACTTGAAAATTCCAAAACAAAG